CAACAGTCCCCCTACCCTTGATGTCTCTTCTTAAATCATTTTCCATCCACTGACCCGCCCCCACCCCACCCCCATTCATACACAAACCTACTCCTTGGTTATAAATCCCTACACATTTTGTGTATTTGGAGTTAAACACAGTCTTTCTTTCCTCCTGCCATGGGCTTTACCCCTATTGCAATAGCATAAATGAAGTCTTCCTTATCATTTTAACAAGTGTCAGAATAAATTTTTCTTTCACATAGATCAAAGTCTGCACGCGTACTTAGTCATGTCCGTTGTGTCCAACTCTATGTGACCCGATGGACTGTAGCCCACCAGGCTCCTCTTTCCATGGGATTCTCCAGGCAAGAATATTGGAGTGGGTTGCCATGTCCTCCTCCAGGGCATCTTCCCAAACCCGTGTCTCTTAATGTCTCTTGCATTGCAGGCGGGTTCCTAAGCACTAGTGCCACCTAGGAAGCCCCAGATCAAAGTTTAAATATGAGGTTTTTTTAAAGAGGCTAACACTTTGGTGCTTAACATGAGCCAAGACATTACTTGTTTTAAGAGCTAAGTCTGTTCCTCACAACAGCTCAGTGAGTCTGTATTATTATTATTATTATTATTAGCCTCAATTTATGGATTACACTGGGGCCCTGAGATGTTAAATTACTTGCCCAAGCACACAAAGCTAGAGCTATGTGTTGGAACTGATATGTGGTGGAACCCAGGGGGCCTGGCCCCAGGGTTCATGTTCTTAAACACAATGCCAGACTCTCCTCGGAAGACTGAAAATTAGGTTGGGAAGTCTACTGTGTCAGTGCTCTTAAAACAATGCTCTCAAACTTACCTGTCCATAAGAGCCAGGGTAAGTTATGCAAAGCAGTGAAGCAGGCTAGGTGAGGAAGGGTTGTGTGGAGTCTGGAATGCCCCTGCCCTCTACAAAGACTGGCCTTCACATCGCCACCTTGTGTTGGTATCTGGAAATGCATATCTTCTGAGGTTGGCGGGGGAGGCGGAGTAATAGAAGAGAGAAATAAGGATTTTTCTGAATGATCTCTTCAATAGACAAAGAAAGGGAAGAGAAAAAGGGAAAGGAGAGAGAGGGGAAGAGAAAGGAAATGGAAGGGAAAGTTGCGCAAGAAACACACACAGCAGACCTGCAGAAGGAATTTATTCAGTCTGTGGGCCACCTCATTTAATAACCCTCATTTCTAGATGTTATTAAATCTTATCACAATGGAATCCTACTGATTTTAAAGACTTACTCCTCACTCTAAACCACCAAGTAATTATATTTTTTAAATAACCTATTTGTGTAACCTATTAGAGACTGTAGATTTCTGCTATTTAGTTGGAGAGGAAACGAGCAAAAGGAGGAGATTTATTTCTTGAGGTTAAGCAGTCTGTCCAGGGCTCATGGAGATGCAGTGACAATTACAATAGCAAATATGTTTCAAGTAGTGTTGATTTCCTATCTACTCATGAATCAAGAGATTTCAAATTACATGTGTTAACCAAGCAATCTGGGCTTTTCTTCTTGAATTGATGGATGATTTAACTTCTACTGACAAAGCAAACAAAAAGAAAATGTTCTTTTAAATGTAAATTAGTATAATCACCTATCTGTGGGAAATGGAGATCAACTTGGTGACTTCTGAGATTTCAGTGCAGTCCCTCATCTTTTCTAAGTCTTCCAGCCTTCAGTTGCTGGACTCTGAGGTGTTCATATTTTACAGTCCTCTCTGGCAAGCCAGGCTTCTTGGCTCCAGCCATATAACAAGAAGATGTTCTGTCCCCTAACCTGGTGTTCTGACCTTCCAAGTTTAATAGGAGGTGGCCAATGGACTTGTTTTTAATTATTTAAACCTGGATTACAGATATGTAATCCAGTCTCATAAATAAGATACAACTATTTTATTTCCAAAAATTGCACTCTTTTAAATAGTGTTTTCACTACTATTTCATGTCATAGCTTAAATTTGCTTATTATTTTGAAGTTTGGCAGGACTTAATAATGGCCATTTTGGAGGGAAATGGGATCGATTAACACCTTTTTGTGCACAAGGTTCTGCACTGTGTCCTGAGGAGTGAACAGGAAAGAATCAATAAGATTGTCCCCTTCCCTCCTGGGACTTGAAGGACTTCTGGAGAAATGAGACATTTATACACAAAAACAGTACATGAGAAGCACAATACAAAGAGAGAAGCACAATACAAAGAACACAGATGGCAATAGCTGTAGAATTTTGAAAAGAGAGAGAGAGATTTTATGACTTAAAGGCCTTAGGAGCCTTCAGAAAGGATGGGGTTTAAGTGGGGTTTTGAAGAACAAGTATGCTTTTTGAAGACGAGGAGGTCAGAGAGTAGTACTCTTTAGTACTACTTTAGTACTCTTTAGTAGTACTCTTTAGTACAGACGCCAAAGAGGCAAAGGGAAAATAAGCTGGGGGCACAACAAGTGTCTGCAACAGAAAACTCTAGAAAGGAAGAAATGGAACATAAACCTGGGGAAGAGGTTTGAAGGAGCAGGAAGCCGTCAAGACCAAGGATGGGAAAATATTTAACCCATCAATATGAATAGTGCAGTTAGAAGGAAGAGCTGTTTGGGAAAGAAGATACATTGGATTTATTGTTAAATGTCATAATGATTGAGCAATCAAATACCATTGAACCAAAATACAAAAGTATTTATTTTCAAAATCTGGGTGCAACCAGATTGACCTTTGCCTTACTTTGACCCTAAAGCTGTAGTTACGATTGTGCTGTTTGATTTATTATCCATCACATGCAAAAAGTAGGATCTTTGAACTTTGGAGCTGACAGAGCCCTTAGAAATCATATAATTCATTTTGGCAGTGAGTTAATTTGGGGTGCAGAAAGATTAAGTGATTCCCATGAGGTCATAGAACCTGTGAGTGATAGAAGTAATATTAAAACAGTCATCTGCTAATTTCTGAACCATTGCTTTGTCTTCATCACATAGTCTGGTTATTCTTTCTAGAAAAATGTTTATGCATAAACACACATGGATAAATTTTCATATATACTTTTAAAGATTCAGTTATACTTGTTAAAATCCAAAATTTTCCCACTTTTGGGTACCTGCATCTCTTTTTCCCTGTTTCTAAGTCACAAAACTCCATTTGCCACCAAATATGTCTCATTATGTATATTTTTGGAATTTATATAATTATACACAAATACACGTAACACATATGTATGTAGAGTTTTAGGTCATTGTTTTACAGAAATGAAAACATATATTCTTTTATGTACCTTGCTTTTCTCATTCAACCATACCCTGGTGAAATTTCTCCCAAGTGAAAAGTTTTAGCTTCATTAGCTATTTATTTTAATGGTTGTATAATGCTTACTGTACAGCTATATCATGATTTATTCTGCCTCTCCACCTATTTAAGGAGACCAGCTTGAGTTTTTTGCATCTACAAATAGTTCTTCAATAAACACGTGTGCATGTGTTAGTCACTCAGTGGTGTACAACTCTGTGATCTCATGGACTGTAGCCCACCAGTCTCTAACCACAGAATTTTCCAGGCAAGAATACTAGAGTGGGTCGCCATTTCCTTCTCCAGGGGATCTTCTCAACCCAGGGATTGAACCCGAGTCTCCTCCATTGCAGGTGGATTCTTTACCATCTGAGCTACCAGGGAAAGCTTTTTTAAATAAACATACTTGTATATTTATCTACACATGTTGGTATTTTATTTCTGTTGATAGGATCACTGAGTGAAGGACATGTGTATTTTTAGTTTTAAAAGCTAAATTACTTCCCTAAGGTGCAATAATACACATTTGCACATACAATTAATAGAAATACTTCCTTTCACAAGGTCTTCCCAGGCTATGGTGTTACAACATTTTTTAAAAGTTTTTGAAAGTGCAGTTGGTTTAGAGTAAAATCTCATTGTTTCTTTATTTGCATTTCTTTGATTACAAATGAATTTGATCATCTTTTCATCAGGTTCTTGGCTATTGGATTTCCTACCTTATAAATTGTGCTTCCATATCCATTTTTCCAATGGATTATTTTGTCTCCTTATAAGTTAAGAACTTCTACTATATTTCAGATATTTTTGCCTGTCCTCTGGGTTGAAAACATGTTTTTGAACCTATTGTATCTGTTTGTGTCATCTTTTGCCATGCAAAAGTTTTGTCATTTTTTTTAGTCATCTGGCTGATGTTTTCTCTCCTAATTCTGGGTGTATTTTCTGCCTTGCCAAAGAAACCTACCTACCTTGTTCATAGATATATTTATGAGCCTACATTTTCTTAACAGAATTTTTAATTTAAATATTTATATTTTAACCTTTAATCTCTCCATGTCTATCTAAGATTTATTTTTGGAATTGGTATAAGAGAGAGTTTTCTTTTCTTTCAGATGACTAAAGAGTTTGCTAGCCCCTTATATTATCCATTCTTTTGTCACTAAACTGAAATGCCTCTTTTGTCATATATTAAATCCTCATTTTATATCTGGATCTATTTCAAGATAATCTAGTCTACATATCTGTTTAGACTTATTTCTTATTTTAATACTTATTCATTTGATACAGTTGCTTTATAGGATTTTCTGATATCTGGTAAATCAGATTACACAAATGACTTGAAGTAGTTATCAAGTGCATATGTAAGTATTAATGTGTTAAAAGCCTATTTTCTAGACAGCAATAGGATGAAGCAGAAACTAACACCAAGATAATACTTGCATAATTAAAATAATTGTTCCATCATCTTTCTTCCAAAGATCTGTATTTATATCAACAGTTATGGAAAGAAAAGCTTTCATGTGCTTATGAGATCCTATACAAGTGACAAATTGGTATAGTTTCAACCCTCAGATACTGTACTGTATTAATGATACTGTTTCCTTGATTCACAGATTGGTCCTTCAGAGGAATCACCCCTGATTGCATCTTCACTTTGAACTTCGGCTGCTTCCCTATAGGAGTGCTGTCCAGGTGCGAGCTCCAAGGTTTTTCCCGGAGAGAGATTCCATGGGGACTGTACCTGACCCTCTGAGATCAGCCAAAACATCCCTGATTGCAGCTTCCGGAGAAGAAGAGGACCGGGGAGAGGTGCAGGCTGCCTCGCCCCAGCCTCAACCAGAAGTCCTGCGTGAGAACACCAATGGCCTTTCCAGCACTCCTGCAGAGCCAGACCGCAGCCCCAGGACAGCTGCCAAGGCCCTGATGCAGGCCGGTGAGCATGTGCCCACGCAGCCAGCCATGTCCTCTCCTGACATTGTTGGTGAGGTGGGGAAGGCATCTCCCACACTCAACTCTCCTGGCAATACTCAGCTGTCAGCGGGCAGAGAGCCCACAGCACCAGCCCTGTGTTCTGCAGCAGGCAAGGATCTGGTATGTGCAACGTTTACAATGCCAGCCAATCAGCACATCCACCCGGTTGTCCCAGGCAACCAGCCCAACGCCAGCCCCCCATCAGGACCTGAAGATACCCTGGTGAAATCACAGAGAACTGCAGATGGAGGGCAACCTGAGAAGTCAAGCTGTCCGGTGGGGGTCATCTGTGGCAAAGATCAAGTGCCCTGTGATTTTCCTTCTCAAGAAACAATGCAGGGAATGGTGCAAACTGAAGATGCAGCAGCCAGGGCGTTCAGTCCTACTTCCGCTACTGCAGGTGGACCCGGAGCAGAAAGGCAGCAAGCTGTCTGCACTTCCCAGACCAGGTCCTGTGGCTCTCCAACAGGAGAAGATGGATGTTCGGGGAACAAACCGCCCTCTGCCGCCACCTCAGACACCCAGGCCACGACTTCGGTGATTCCTCAACCATCCCACCTCCCTAGCAACGGATCGATGTTTCCTCCAGATCCAGAGAAGGTGCCGCTGGCAGCACAGCCTCAAATGTCAAGGTTTAAAGAAGCAAGTACGATGACCAGCCAAGCTGAAAATGAGATCAAGGAAACCCCACCCAGGGCTCATCAAGATGCCGAGGTGCAGGCAGTGGCGAGTGTCGAGAGCAGATCGGCATCCACCAGCCCCAGCATCCTCACTGCATTCTTAAAGGAAACCCCTGCTCCAGAGCTGTTGGAACAAGAGCAGCTGCGTGTCATCTGCCAGGGCAGCGCGAGCCGCACGCTGGAGCTGTCTGAGAACATCCTCGCCCCCGGGGAGGCGGGTCAGTGCCGTGACCTCATGCCAGCGGTGCACATCCAGACAGCTGCGGCTGTTTCTGCAGCTTTCCAAGGAGAGAGTAAATCAGGGAGCCTACCAGTGCAGGTCCTTAAAACCTCAGCCGTCAATGCTCAGGCGATGTGTAAAGAAGACGGGAAATCAGCGGGAATGATCCTAGCGGGGCCAGAGCTTACCTTCAGACAGCTTTCGGGTACTAGTTCTACCTCCCTGAAAGCTAGCCCCAGTGACCAGTCTTCTCTTAGCGCAGGACGTCAAGTTGAAACAGGTCACGGATTAGGGAAGTGTGAAACGAAGCCATCTGAGTTGGCAGTGGCAACCACCGGTGGCCACGAACCAGACCCCGACTGCAAACTCTCCGACTCCAGTGGCCCTGTCAGCAGAGCCGACCAGTCCAGGAGCTTGGATCTCACGAATCAAGGGGATGCAAGAGAGAAGAGGCTTGCGTCTCCTCAGATAATGAAAGAACAAGAATCTCCTGGCATCGATATCCTGGAGGTGAGGGCAAGAGCAGAGGCCAAAAGCCTACTGCTCAATCCTAAATCTCCAGAAAGTGGAGGCGTGGCATCAGGTGCCAGCCCTACACCCTCCCCAGTTAGAAGGAGCCAGGAGGGCACCGGGGAAGAAACCAGACAGACCAAGACGGCCGCCAGCCTAAGCCTGCCGTCAGACGCCATCGGGGACTCTAGCCCTGGCTCTGGCAAAAGGACCCCTTCTCGCTCCGTCAAAGCCAGCCCCCGCCGGGCCAGCCGGGTCAGCGAGTTCCTCAAGGAGCAAAAGTTAAACGTGACGGCTGCTGCCGCCCAGGTGGGACTCACGCCAGGGGAGAAGAAGAAGCAGCTGAGTGCCGACTCCAAGCTCCAGCTGAAACAGTCCAAGCGTGTCCGGGACGTGGTGTGGGACGAGCAGGGCATGACCTGGGAGGTGTACGGCGCTTCCCTGGACCCGGAGTCCCTGGGCATTGCCATACAGAACCATTTGCAAAGACAAATCAGGGAACACGAGAAATTAATCAAAGCTCAGAGCCGGAGGTCCATCTCCTCAGATACTTCTTCTAATAAAAAGCTCAAAGGCAGGCAGCACAGCGTTTTCCAGTCCATGCTGCAGAACTTGCGACGCCCCAACTGCTGCATTCGTCCTGCTCCTTCTTCTGTGTTAGATTGAAAAGGAACGTGTCCAGAAGCCCTTGGATACTGCTACAGGCTTCAGAGGTGTCCATCTGTCTATGTCAGAGCTTACTTAATTTTTTTCTGAGGGACCAGGAAGAGAAAGCATTAACTCACAGAAATTGCTACTAAGAATTGCGGGGTCCTTTGCTGGGGCTCCATAAATAAAAAATAACGTTTCAATTTGAAAGGAAGTGAAGAAGTAAGCTTCACTGAAGGTTTACAACCTTAATTAAGAGGAAATAACACTCACTGTTTTTTTTTAATATGACGTTTTTAGAATAACATGCTCATTACACATGTGTCATTTTATATTACTGCCTCAATTTATCACACTATGGTATTTCCATTAAAACCCCTCTTTATATTAAAAGTAGCAAAGACACTGTTAGCAAAAACAGTTATACTTTGTAGTCCATTGCAATAAGAATGCTGATACCACACAAAATTTAAGTAGGTGACGACAAATATCATGGAAAAAAAGGGAAACGAATTTGACTCATTCCTCAGCTAGAGGATATAAATAAAAGAACTTACACGCATAAAATGCCAAATATGAAATAATATTTGTAACATCTGCATATAACCCTTTTTATAAACCTTGTTATACCTGTTAATAAATGTAAGAACGTTATATTAGGAAAAAAGTTAGTAAACCATTTGAATACTGCCCACATAAAACATGAATTTCTGTATATACATTTTCCTGCACTAAGGGCAAGGGTCATCTCTGTGATTGTGTTTAGATTAAATTCATATTTCCTTGCCCAAGAGGAAATACATGTGACTGAATTCTTGAAGAGAATTATCATATTATTGATAATACTGAATTTTATGTTGTTCAGCTGTCTCTAATAACATTCTGCTGAGAATGTTAAGTTTCTGGTAAGGAATTATAAATAGCCAATTACCAAACACTCCTTTTTTTTGTGTTGAAAAAAGGAAAGTCTCCTGAGTAACAAAAACAACAGGTTTAATTGTGGCTCCTGTAAACAGGATGCAGTTTGTATTTTTGTTTTGATTTGGTTCGGTAGCTTCTAATAGAAAATGTAGTCAAATAGAAATGAGCTCCCTTGTTGCTTTTATATGCAGACTAATATCATCTAATTGCTTAAAACTAATCTGTGGTAAAAAGGTAACCTCTTCAAGCCTATTAATTTTAAGAGAAATACCATCATATCTCATCCTTCCAACCCTTTAAAAAAAGCTGCCTTTACTAAAACATCATTTGAACTTTGGGTGGGCTTAGTCCTTGAGGATATAGGCACCTGTTTGAGCTGAGCCCTCACCTGTCTCCATTATGGAAGCGTGTCCTTGGGGCCCATGAGTGTTTTGCAGGGCACTGGCTGGGGTGACCATCAGTGGTTGAGTGGGTCTAGTGGGGAAGAGAGGAGTGAGCCCTGGATATTGTTGGTTTCCACGTTGCATTTAGAGAATGAATCACTGTTAGTGATGAAGGGGCGTTGGCTGCTTTCTCTAAACTCACTGCCTTGATGAGCCAGGAAAGGATTGTCCAGCTGTGTACTCTCTCTCCAGAGGTTCATAAATGCCATTTGTGTAGTAAATGCAAAGTTTCTATTTTTTTTTTTTAATTTGGATTCTCTTTTGCAGATTCTGAACATATTGCGGGAGGATATCATACCTAAGCTTTAACACCACAAGCTACATCAGACATAAATTAGTCAATAGTCATCGATTTCTTTCAAAGTAATTGGACTGTCTATGAAGCCTACATAAGTAGACCACAGAGCCATTCTCACAGTCAAAGCCAGAGAATGGCAATTACAGTTGTTAGAATTGAAACTTCCAGTGAATTTTTTTAATAAAGCACATGTTTGTGTCTTACCAGTTGGCCTCTACTAAGAAGGCTACCTAACTAGAAATTACCATCAAATTAGCAGCCAAAATTATTATTAATGAATTGAGTCTAAAACTCTCTCTTTGGGCCTTAAATACCCATTGGCTGTAGTGTTCACGTCACTTCTGTAGGAGATGCCTTTGCCAGAGTTTAACTTCCCTCCTGTCTCGCTCACTGGCTGTCTCCCTCACACATGCTGTGTACACATAGCGAACACACTCTGTACACAGTGGCAGCTGTCAACAGTACCCACTCCAGATGGGTGGGCCCAGGTCACCCGCTGCTCCAAACTGGCCAGAACAGACTGTCCCTGCATTAAAATGGGAGAAAAGGAAGAATTTAGCATCTGGTAATAATATTAGTTTTCATGAGATTGGAGTAACCACGTGATTTATGAATAGTGAAAGGAAACAAAGGCCAAAGAGCGTTGTAGACATTGTTGTCGTCACACATTAGAAGCAAATTAATAAAATTCAATAAATTGAAACTTGATGTGTGCTAGAGTCACTTTGGTTTTTCTGGGGACTGAAACTAACCTTTACTTCTTAATCTTTAATTTTTCACTTTCAATCTCTACCACACTCTAAAGATTGTCACAAAATGTTACAAAAGCTTTCTTCTCACTTACTAAATCTTATAGATGGAAAAGTCCTGAAAAGGAAAAGTCCTGGTCACAGAAATAGCTCATCAAATAGATAAATAAGACAGGAGCCTATTCAAAACAGTGGTGTTTCTGCATTATGATCACCCAAAGACTCTCAGGATAAAACCTTGTTTTGAAAATGCTCCTTCACTGGATCTATGACACATACACATTCAGGACATCATCTGTGATTCCTTAGGTTCATTCAACAAATGAAGTTGCAAAACAATTTTCATGGCAGACTATTTGAACTTGCTCTGCTATTCGTTACCTGCATGACACACACAGTGTTGAAAGCTGTTTTTGTCCTTATTTCTTTTAGTTATCTTTTGGTCCTTTTAAATGTATTTTAGTTGTTGAAATAAATAAATAAATTAAGTAAATCAGTATGAGATATTTTTTAAACCAGCAGCAAAAAAGAGGTGACTTAGGCCATCCAGATGTTTAACATGTGAAGATGTGTACCCAGTGAAAATGTTTAATTTAAATTCCGATTTTTCTATTTTATGACTACAAGAAAAATGTGACCACTTCAACTGTCATGTATCTATTTATCTTCAGCGTTTTTCTAATTATGTCTTTCTGGATTATTACCCTTGATGCCACAGACCAACTACTTTACATACACTGAAATCCTAATTAAGCTTTGTGTTTTGGATCAGTGGCACACTTTAAACATTTTGTTAGGTCACAGTGGACCAGAAACCTTTTTGTTTGCATCCAAAATGAAATATTTATAAAAAATATTACTGTGTTTTCCTACCTTGACAAGTCAGCTATATTGAATATAATTTGATTTTTGATGATCTTTAATCTTTAGAATGGTCTAATATTTATTATTTTGGATATCAGTGTTCTCCATCTTATAGGTTAAATATCAAAACTGGAATAAATTGGGCTGAATATGCATGTGTAACATATACCCTAGAGGTTGAATTTTGGAACCAAATTCTTAATGAGAGCTTGTCATCTTAAGAAAGCAGAAGAGGAAAATTGCTTTGGGTTGCATCTAAGAGTATTAAGGTTTTTATTGTTCTAGCTTATTCTGATAGTCTTCCTCTCATCTCTGGGAGTTCCTATCATTTGGGAAATAGCTGTATATACCACATGAAGACTAGAATATGATGTGACTTTAAGATTTGTTTACAGAGGACCTATATGAGTAGGCTATTAATGTAAATTGGCCTCTGTTGTATCCTCTTTGTTACTGTTTTGCTTCCAAAATGTGAGAAACTGTCTTTTCTTCCTCCTACATATTGTGCAAGTGTTTAACAATTTGTCGATTTCTAGTACCACATACTTTACCACAGCCCTTGTCTGCTTTTTAAGAATCAATATAAAGGAAAACAATACATTAGGATAAGGTTTGCATATATATGTGTGTGTGTTCTTACTGAATATCACAAATATCACTTGTAGCCTTGTGTAGGCCTCTACGTGTCTGATTTACTGATCATCTACAATGCTGCCATGGAGATGACGCTGTTTACTCTCTCCAGCTTTGTCCTAAGCGGTTTTGAAAAACGGAGCCTGTGAACTTCCCTCTGTGATAATAATGCAGTGAACTCAGCAGTATCTTGGATAAATAAACTGACCATCTTGTCTCTAACGCTGTTCTGTCTACACACTGAACCAGAAGTCTTTCCCTCCTCTGCCTCAATGCTTGCTATTTTATATTCCCATCTGAGCATTTTGTTTTCTGTTAGCAATATTCTTGGTTCCATGTGTGGCCCTTTGGGTTGAATCTCCAAAGGTGGATCAGCTGCTGCCACCTGGCAAATAACAGGTGACATGCCAAATCTCCTGTCCAACTTTGTAACTTTATGCTTCTTAATGAAATTCTGCAGCCAGCTGAGTAGTTATAAATGTCATTGTGCAGACACATGGGCTGAAGGATATCTACAAAATTTTAGACATTTCTTTTTTTTTGCAAAAGGGGAAAAAATTAGTCTTGTAAAGACTGAAACAGATTTCCGTGAACTTTACCCTACTGTTGGAAAAAATGAATTCTCCTTGGCTACAGAAATAAACTTGATTTGCAATGACCAAGGACATAAATGAAGATGGAGTGAAGTGGAAAAATTCTGTCTCACAAATCAGTGACATCTACCAGAGTTCATTACTGCTACTTTTAACTGTGAACATTCACCAGCTAAACTACTCACTTGCCACAACCAAATAACCTCTCTCAAAGTAAATCCAGTACATTGGTATATATGTGTAGATAGAAACAAATAAAACAAAACAAAAACCCTGAAAAGTTACTGTTGGCTGTTAGGTAAATCAAGTTGATAACCAAAAGGACATTTAAATAACGGCAAGCCTTGGTGAAATGACTGTGAAGGCCAGAATGGTGCAACAATTTGTTATACCCAAGTCTGGTGTGTTTTTCTAAGACCCAAATATCTCAGCTACTCATCCTGAGAATAAAGACTGTTGATAATGAAATTAAAGTCAAGCAATAATGTGCCAAAAAGAGGCAGTTATACCACCAAGT